GTTCAACTGGGTATGGTGACTCGTGCTTGTAATTCCAGCTGCTCAGGAGGTCGAGGCGGGAGAATCACTTGAGGCCAAGAGTTTCAGCCTAGGAACATAGTGAGACCTTGCCTCTAAAAAAAAAAAGTTTTAAAAATTAGCTGGGCGTGTTGGTGCATGCCTGTACTACCAGCTACTCAGAAGTTCAAAGCTGCAATGAGCTACGATCGTGCCACTGCACTCCAGCCCAGGCAACAGAGTAAGACCCCAAGTATAAAAAAACTAAAAATTCAAAAAAATTTCAATTTTGGTTCTGTCCTTAACTGTCTAGGGCCCTGCCCTGGATCTTCTTCCCTTACTATTCCCTTTACTGTATCTGGCTGGGTCAGTACTGTTCTAAAAACCTCTTTAGGATCCTTTCTGGCTTGTTCAGCCAAACCCACTTTGCAGTGACCTTTTACTTACTGGCAGATGAAAAGCAGATGGCCTCCACCTGGTTTTGCTCAGCCTGTGGCATCAAACAGTGTGACACTTCCTAAGAGGGGAAGTGGGGGGACAAGGATAGTACTAGGAGCCTTGCCCAGCAAGCTCTTCTTTTTTTTTTTTTTTCAAGACAGTTTCGCTCTGTTGCCCAGGCTGGAGTGCAGTGGCACCATCTCGGCTCACTGCAAGCTCCGCCTCCCAGGTTCATGCCATTCTCCTGCCTCAGCCTCCCGAGTAGTTGGGACTACAGGCGCCTGCCACCGCACCCGGCTAATTTTTTGTGGTTTTAGTAGAGATGGGGTTTCACCGTGTTAGCCAGGATGGTCTTGATCTCCTGACCTCGTGATCCATCCATCTTGGCCTCCCAAAGTGCTGGGACTGCAGGCGTGAGCCACCGCACCCAGCTGCCCAGCAGGCTTTTCTACCTCATTAAAGGATAACCAGTACCTTTTCCCCACTCTGTGTGACAGAACAAGGGATGGATTGGGAATGCAGGACCCCTATGGAAAGAAAGTGTCCAGAATGGAAAGTATTTCATTGCTACTTGGTGCCTTACTGATGTTATTTAAGTTTAAGGGATTAGAGGGCAAGGGGGCCACTGTGGGTGGGGTTAAGGACCTTATCCTCAGCTTGCTGGCTGATCACAAACTTTACTTCTGACAGTGTTACCGGGACTTGGCTCTGGTGAGTCGTGATGGCATGAATATTGTCCTGAATAAAATCAACCAGATACTTATGGAGAAGTACCTGAAGCTGCAGGATACCTGCCGTACTCAGGTAAGGCCAGAAAGAAAAGACAGGATCCAGCTCAAAGAGAGAGGATGGATCTTCTCTCTGTCAGGAGTGGGAAAGAGGAATCAGGGCTAACACACCCTATCGTTGTGTGTCTAAATTGTAGTGTGCTCCTTTCAGTTGTAATTGAATTAGTTCCCTTCTCAAACTCACAGGTCCTGCTCTTCATCTGTTTTTCCCTCTTTCCTTTAGTTGGTGTGGTTGGTACGGGAACTGGTGAAGAGTGGGGTTCTAGGAGCCGATGGTGTTTGTATGACGTTTATGAAGCAGATTGCAGGTGAGTTTGATGGCAGGAGCATGAAGAAGAAAGGAGGAGAGCCCAGAGACTAAATAGAGACAATGGAGAATGATTAAGTGCCAAAGGGATGGAATTCCTGGATTGCTTAGACTGTTTCTTTCTGATACAGACATCTTCTGGCCACATATGTTGTATAAATAAATTGACTGAAAAATCATGGGGGGGCCTTTTAAAGCAGTAAGTCTTGCCTCATTTTCTTTCCTACTAAACCCAGGGCTTGACAGACTATTTGGCCTATTTTAGCCAGTCTTCACTCTGAGATTTTATAGCATTTCAGAGCAGGAAGAAATGGGGAGAGAAGTGAGGGCAAATAAATTTGTTCCCAAGTCCCTGTGCTTTCAGAAACCTAGACATCTTCCCTGGCTCCACCCCTATGATCTGAATGCTTGCTCCCTAATAATTAGGCCCTTTACTGGGGCCAGAATGAGAACAAACTATGTCACAGAACAGACCCTGACATTTAGGTTTTATTCTCATCTTGGCTACGGTGACATCTGTCTGAGCCACTGCATATTCAAGCGGCTACTCCCAAGATTGCATGTGTTTGTTTAAAAGTGACCTGCTACTACCTCACCATTAGCCCATTGGGGCTTGCTTCCTCTTTAAAATTTTATGTAACACTGATGCTCCTGTTTTGATGTGTATGAACCTTAATCTATGTCATGTGTGACTTTGTGAACATTGAATTTTTTAATTGGGACCTGGGGCAAGGCATAGTTTTGGCTATTTTTATCCTCTTTCCTGGCCTCTTCCCTGTTTGGCACTCCCAGCCCCCACTTCTTATCCCAAGACTGGTCTGGCATTGCTGTATGTTAATTCTGCCCCAGGAAGTTTCATAGCAAGCACTGTTACCTGGAAAGACTGTTACCTGGAAATAAGAAACTCTTGGCCTGTTGGGGGCCTGAGTGCAGGACTCAGGACATCCAGTTGCTAGACTGCAGCTGTTGTCAGCCACCTGTACCTCTCAGGCCCTCTCTGAGATATCATCCTTTCTTTCCAACTGTGGGCTTCTTATATCTACTTGTCAGACATTCATTTTCAAGGGCCAAAATGTTCCCACTCCAACTCACAATCTGTGGAAAAGCAGCAGCTCTGGTTTCTAGAAAAATTCAGAACCTTCCCTTTTCTTCTTTCCGGAGGCAAAGGGTGAAACTTTAAAGCCTGACAGAACAGAAGGCAGTTTATCTCAGCACTAAGAACAGCAGTGATGGGATGGCAGTCAGGGTGAACCAGCAGAATGGGTGAAGAGATGTATTGGATTGGCTGAGTTGCTAATCAGAGCTATTCTTTTTTTCTCCTTTTGAAATAAGGTGGAGATGTTACAGCCAAAAATATCTGGTTGGCAGAAAGTGTTCTGGATATCCTGACAGAGCAAAGGTAGAGTCCACCATGAAGGGTGGGGTACAGGCCAGATAATGGCCATTAGGAGTGTGAGTGTGGGAAATGGGGATGAAAGGATTGTGTGGCCCATGAACACCTTAAGTCAGAGAGGGGGAGGCAAGGAGAGGGAGAGACAAGTGTATTGTTGGCAAGTGAAGAAATTAATGCCCAGGAATGAAGGAATGGGAAAGAGGTCTTTGCCAAAATATCGCATAGCCCAGAAAAACTGGCTCCATCTGATAAGGGTTTATTTTTGATCCAGACCTCCTTGGAATGTTTATCTTAGGGGAAAGCTGGGGAGGAATGAGCTCAGCAGAGTTGGGCCAGGCAAACACCCACGCCTGGCAGGTATCCTTGTCTCCCCTCCAAGCTTCTCCATCGAACCCGTGCTCTTTTTGAAGTGGCACAGGGGGCAATTGGTGTGAGCAGGTAATAGAGATTAGTGAATCCTGCTGGAGTTTGCATATGGGGTTTGGAGGCTCCAGTGGTAGAGAGTGCATCAGGGGATACATACTGGACTTTCTGGCTGATTCTTTCCCTTATCCATCAAAATAAAAGGCCAGAAATTTTATGAGGGCTATTCCACCTCTGAACTTGTTTGGAGGTGAGGCTTTCCCCTTGGTTTCAGTCTTCCTCTTGCTTGACTTCTGAGTCTCTTTTCTGATTGAGGACACCATAGCAGTCGAATGATTGAGAGGGCTAATAGTGTCCATACTATCTGTAGTTCCGAAGAATGGACCTCCTCCCAACGTTCACCCTTGCGAAAGAGATGGCCGTGTGCTGTGCTCTGCTCAGGTCTGAGAGCCCTGCCCTATCTGCTGTGCAGTGCCACCTAGTGCTCTTGGCACGGGTGTGCGGCCACATCTGGGCCTGGAGCCACTTCTGTTATTGGTGCCATTGCAGTAGCACGTTAGATCCTAACAGTCTCTTACCAGATCTCTGCTTTTCCTAGGTCTTTGTTCCTTTTTACTGTCCTGGGTCAGGGGGCCTTTCAACTCTTTCTTTCTCTTTATTATGCCATTCCAGGATTCAGGTAATTTCATTACCTTTGCTAGCAATCTTTCTAAAAAGTGATTTTTCTTATTTTGTTCCTGGTGCCAAATACCTCCTATCCCCATACCTTAAAGCTGAATTTTCTGTACAGGCATCAGATGACAGCCAGATAACTGCCCTGTTTTCTACCCTCCAAAAAACTTAACATCTTTTGGTGAAAGTCAATACCTAGAAATTTAAAAGTGTGTCCTCTCCTACACCCTCCTCCTCACTCTCTTCCAAATGTTTCTAGGGCTGTGGAGTTAAAAGGTAGCAGGTAGGGGAGGAAACCTTCCCCAGTAACCTTGGCTAGTGCACCCATTCTGTGAAAAGAAAAGGCCACAGAGTATTTTAATTAGGTGGCTTGAGTAGTTTTCCGGAATCAGGATGTGGCCTGCCTGGACTAATTAAACGTCATGTCATCTTCCTCCAGTTCCCTGCCTTCCAACAGGGGTGCCAAAACCATTACAAATTGTTTGCTGGGAGGAGATAGCATCTCAGTTTTGTCACTTAGAGACAGGATTAGAATATCCCCACTGTGTCTTTCTCTCTACTCCTTTTAAAGCAACTGGGAACAAACCTTTCATTACCCCCTTTTTCCTCAGGGATATTCTGAAACTCATGAGCAGATGAGTTTGCCACCCAAAATCAGGTTCTTTTTTTCAGGTTGTGATTTAGGACAGGTGACTCATTGTGTGGGAGTGGGGACTCATTGTGTGTCGGTGACTAGATAGAGCCAGGGAAAGGTTTGTGGCATGGTGAGCTGCTAATGATCAGCAGACTGAGCTAGCACAGTATGTTCTCAAAACTCCAGGTCCTGAAGGGTCTTGGCAATCCCACATGTTCTTGCATCACACTTAAGAACCGCTGACTTAGGGACACTTACCCAGCTTTTCCCCATAGTCTGACCTGGGTAGATACTGTGGCTTAATTCTGTCCCTAGTACCTCACTTGTTGCTTGGCGCCTGATAGGCACTCAGTAAATGTTTGAATGAATGAGTCAACAAAGAGAGTTATTTTCTTGGAAACTAAGTAGTTAGGTGGTAAAAAGAGATTGCTTTTATTTGGCAGTTACCTTTTAGGCACTTGTAAGAGAAAATTAGGAAGTTGTCCGTAGCTTAGCCAGTTGTTAGTCCAAGATAGATACTAGCTTGAGTGAGCAAGCAAAAAATCAAAGCATCTACTCCCAGTGTCAAATCATCAGTTATTTCTGAGGCACTGTAGCCAACCCCAGGAAGGGTGAATTGGGAGGGTGAATAGTTCTAGACAGAGCATAGGAGCCAGTGTGTTTCTTCCCTGCAGGGAGTGGGTCCTGAAGAGCAGCATCCTCATTGCCATGGCTGTTTACACGTACCTCCGCCTCATCGTGGACCACCATGGGACTGCCCAGCTCCAGGCCCTGCGACAGAAGGAAGTGGACTTCTGCATCTCACTGCTTCGGGAACGGGTGAGGGAACAGGACAAAAATAATGTGGGGAAGTGAGACTCAGGCTGAGATGCCTCTGGAGGTTTATGCAGTGAGGTCAGAAATACCTTGTTAGAGACGAAGGTGCGTCAAGATCTGGTGTTTTCCATCATTTGTCAACAGATGAGGGTAGAAAGGAGGGGGAGTTAGTGTAGAATAGCCCTAATTCCTAGAAATGCTACCCGTTAAGCTGGCATCCTTGGGATTTCCCTGGTCAGCTTCAAGGATACTGTTGTACACCACAGAGATAAGCTGTCCTTGTGTGCCTACCATGACACGGTCCCCCACCTACTCTCCTGGGTAATTCCCATGGTCTAGTGAGATTATGAATTGTCCTCTATCAGACCTCCCATGTGGCAATTAAAATTTTTTTTTACTTTACATTTTTGTAGATACTGGACCTTGCTTTGTTGCCCAGGCTGGTCTTGAACTCCTGGCCTCAAGTGATCCTCCCGCCTCAGCCTCCCAAAGTGTTGGGATTATAGGCGTGAGCCACTGTGCCCAGCCTAAAATTAATGTTAGATGAAACGTTAAAATTCACTTCTCTAGTTGCATTAGCTACATGTTGCTAATGGGTTTCATTTAGACTACACAGATACAGACATTTCTACCACAGAATTGGACCCACAGAATTAGATACTGCAGAATTTTGTTAGACAAAATGAGTTTGAGGTTAGGGTTTCTGCCAGTCCCATCCTTTTGAAACTTTAGTCGTCCTTGAACTGTATTGAAACAGTTCTGGGTGGAGGGGGAGGTGGATTAATGTAAAAGCCAGCAGGGCTTCAGCACTTCCCGCTAACTTCTCATTCTTGATATCAGTCCCCAGCTTCCAGCTTCCAGCTGTCTTCCCCTGAACAGCTAGGAGCCAATCCTTTGGTTCCAGAAGAAATCCTATAGTCTCTTTAACCCTCTTTCCTTCCCTCCCTAGAACATGTTGTTCCTTTGTCCTCCCTCCAGCAGGTAAACAATCCATGTTTTTATTCTCTTTCCTGTCCCCCACTTCCTCTTCCTTATCAAGTTCATGGAATGTCTGATGATTGGTCGGGATCTCGTAAGACTGCTTCAGAATGTTGCTAGGATACCAGAATTTGAACTGCTTTGGAAAGATATTATCCATAATCCTCAGGCCTTGAGTCCTCAGTTCACAGGTAAGTAGGGTCTTAGGCATCCTGTCCTTGACAGCTGGGAGTTCAATGTATATGTCTTGCTTGAATCAAGAAGGTAGAGGTTGGTGGGTAGGAGAGTTTTTGGTGATCAGATTTTAGGAAGCTTGGGACAGGGCAAGCTTTGCCAAGTACAACTGGGAATGGTAGAGGTACAGAACAATTCATGTAGTTCCTAGACAGCCCCTACTTGGCAGACTCCAGCTGCCACATTACTACGAAGAAAAAAGAGAGACAGAGAACGGTAGTCCTCCTCCCCTCTTCCTGGCAGCTCCTTGGCTCAGGAGGTGAGCCAGTGGCCAGTGTTCAGCTTCACAGAGTCTAGCAGGGGAGTCAGAGGTCAACTCGTGAGACTGAGTCAGTAGAGGCCTGGAATTAATCCTATAAGAGAAGGCCCCTCCCTGGGAACAGTCTTGCCTCGAATTCCAAGGATCCAGCTTGGGCAAAATCCACTTTGGAGGAGGGAGTCTCCGTGTGCCTCCCCGACAAGGTCCTTTTTATATCCCTTTCCCTTTCCCAGGGTCCTGCTACGGTCTGAACAATAACTGTACAGCTTTGCTCCCCACACCACCTCAACACACATGTGCTTGTGATCGTGCACACACCCCTTACACACACACACACACACACACACACACACACACACGGAAGGCAGTTGTCCAGGACCTGGGAAGTCAGGAAAGAGAGAAAAGTGCTGGAAATTGTAGTACTCTTATATTGAACATCTATTTCATTGCTTTTAAGTACCTCCTCTGTGTTAGACAAACACGTATTACCTCATTTAATCTTTGGACAGCCCTACAAGTATTTTAGTTTCTACATTTATACATAAACTGAGGTTTGAGGCCAGGCATGGTGGCTCACGCCTGTAATCCCACCACCTTCGGAGGCCGAGGCAGGCGGATCACAAGGTCAAGAGATCAAGACCATTCTGGGCAACATGGTGAAACCCTGTCTCTACTAAAAATACAAAAATTAGCTGGACATGGTGGCACATGCCTGTATTCCCAGCTACTTGGGAGGCTGAGGCAAGAGAATCGCTTGAACCCAGGAGGCGCAGGTTGCAGATCGTGCCACTGCACTCCAGCGTGGTGACAGAGTGAGACTCCGTCGCCACCCCCCCGAAAAAAAGAAAAGAAACTGAGGTTTAAGGAGATTAAGTAATTTGCCCAAGGCTATACAGCGGGTAGGTTAGGTGACAGAGGCAGGATTTTGATCCAAGTCTTTTTTTTTTTTTTTTTTTTTTTTTTTTTTTTGAGATGGAGTCTCGCTGTGTCACTCAGGCTGGAGTGCAATGGCATGATCTCAGCTCACTGCAACCTCCGCCTCCTGGGTTCAAGTGATTCTCCCACCTCAGCCTCCCAAGTAGCTGGGATTACAGGCACCTGCCATCATGCCCAGGTAAATGTTGTATTTTTGTAGAGATGGAGTTTAACCATGTTGGCCAAGCTGGTCTTGAACTCCTGACCTCAAGCGATCCACTCGCCTTGGCCTCCCAAAGTGCTGGGATTACAGGCATGAGCCACCGCACCCAGCCTCTTTTTTTTTTTTTTAAGATGGGGTGTCACTATGTTGCCAAGGCTGGTCTTGAACTCATAGGCTCAAGGGATCCGCCTGCCTCGGCCTCCCAAGGTGCTAAGATTACAGGCCACCAGTATGCCTGGCCTTTTAAATTATTTTTGTTCTCTCATGTCAGGCAGGTAATGTGAGGACATGGTAACAAGGTTTGAGGGAGGCACATGTCACACATGAATGTGAAAAACCAATAATCATGCTTATGAGCTACAGTAGAATCTGGATCCACATGTTTCTGACTCCAGGGCTTATGCTCATGCCACAGATAACATTGATTCCAGGACCCAAGGATGGGATCATCAGGAGCAGGAAGAGCAGCTGGGGTTTCCCATATTTTCCCCTTAACTTTCCCATCTGTTGCCAGTGGGAATCGTGGGTAGGAGGCTCTGGAAGACCAGCAGAAGACAGGAAGTAATATAGCTGGGTCCTGGGGATAGTGGTTGGTTGGAGCAGAACACGTAAGTGCTGGTTGGAATCCCCACCTGTGCTTGACCTCCCTTGGTCTTGTCTTGGAATTTCTCCGTGAGCAAGACTACTGGCCATCAGTACCTGGGCCCAGGTTCCCAACCTGCCTTTCATTCTTTCTGGTCCTCAGGCTTCCTCTTTTCTCTTCCCTTCCACATTTGATTCAGGTATCTTACAGCTTCTTCAGTCAAGAACATCCCGAAAATTCCTAGCATGTCGTCTAACCCCAGACATGGAGACTAAACTCCTCTTCATGACATCCCGGGTAAGCTAAGGTGTTGCAGCAAGAGAAGAGGTCACACGCTGGTTGGGCTTTGCTTTGGTCTGTGGAGCTGTTACCGTTGTTTACTAACCAGTAGAATGGTAGCTAAATAATCATACCTGATCTGCCTGGCTACTGGCTTCCTTGTCCTTTATTCATTCTATGCCTACACATTGAGCACGGTGCTAAGGATTGGGGATACACTGTCGAATAAGAGAGATACAGGTACAGCTCTCGTGAAGCTTTTAGTTTATCTAAAGTGGTCACTAAACCAATAATTATGTAGAAATACTAGTATCATTTACAAGTGTGAAATGTTCTATAAAGGGGAGAGTGAAAGTGTTCATGTTAAGAAACCCACAATTGCTCCAGGAGAACCATGAAGTCTCAGGAAAAGAGTTATGTATCTTTCCAAACTTGACTGAATAATGGCAGAATTACTTGAGCATGTTAAAGATGCAGCTTCCTGGATCCCACTGTCCCAGATAATTTGATTGAGGAATCTGTGGGGTTTTTTTTTGTTTTTGTTTGTTTGTTTGTTTGTGTTTTGAGACGGGATTTTGCTCTTGTTGCCCAGGCTGGAGTGCAGTGGCGCGATCTCGGCTCACTGCAGCCTCCACCTCTTGGGTTCAAGCAATTCTTCTGCCTCAGCCTCCTGAGTAGCTGGGATTACAGGCATGCACCACACTTTGCGAATTTTGTATTTTTAGTACAGAAGGGATTTTTCTATGTTGGTCAGGCTGGTCTCGAACTCCTGACCTCAGGTGATCCACCTGCCTCAGCCTCCCAAAGTGCTGGGATTACAGTGAGCCACTGCACTCAGCCAGAGTCTGTTTTTAGCAGACTTCCCAGGCCATTCCTCTGCGGCCAGTCTGGCTGTCGAGAACTACTTTCTTAATCAGCTTTCCCAAGTCACCCAGACTAATTGTCGAGGTCTGTGTTGTACTATGTGATGGCCACCAGCCATGTGTTGCCATTTAAATTTAAGTTAGCCTTCAGGACTAGGTATGATAAACATTCTTGGCCAGGCGCCGTGGGTCATACCTGTAATCCCAGAACTTTGGGAGGCCAAGGTGGGCAGATCACTTGAGATCAGGAGTTCGGGACCAGCCTGGCCAACATGGTGAAAGCCCGTCTCTACTAAAAATACAAACATTTTACTGGGTGTGGTGGCACATGCCTGTAATCCCAGCTACTCAGGAGGCTGAGGCAGGAGAATCACTTAAACCCGGGAGGCAGAGGTTGCAGTGAGCCAAGATCGCACCACTGCACTTCAGCCTGGGCGACAGAGTGAAACGCTGTCACACACACAAAAAAATTAAGTTAGTTAAAATGAGTTAAAATTAAAAACCCACAGCTGGGCGCCATGGCTCACGCCTACAATCTTAGCGCTTTGGGAGGCCGAGGCTGGTGGGAACACTTTAGGTCAGGAGTTCAAGACTAGCCTGGGCAACATGGTGAAACCCTGTCTCTACAAAAAATACAAAAATTAGCCAGGTGTGGTGGTGGCTACTCAGGAGGCTGAGGCAGGAGAGTCACTTGAACCCAGCCCCAGGAGGCAGAGGTTACAGTGAGCTGAGATCGTGCCACTCCACTCCAGCCTGGGCAACAGTGAGATTCCATCTCAAACAAACAACAAAAAAAAAATTCAGAGCCTGGTGCAGTGGCATGTGCCTGTAATCCCAGCTTCTCAGGAGGCTGAGGTGGGAGGATTGCTTGAACCCAGGAGTTAGAGACCAGCCTGGCTCAAGCAATCCTCCCATCAATGAGACCCTGTCTCTTAAAAAATAATAATTTGGGCCGCGCACGGTGGATCACGCTTGTAATCCCAGCACTTCGGGAGACCAAGGCAGGCGTATCACGAGGTCAGGAGATGGAGATGATCCTGGCTAACACGGTGAAACCCCGTCTCTACTAAATACAAAAAATTAGCTGGGCATGGTAGCGGGCACCTGTAGTCCCAGATACTCGGGAGGCTGAGGCAGGAGAATGGCGTGAACCCGGGAGACGGAGCTTGCAGTGAGCCGAGATCACGCCACTGCACTCCAGCGTGGGCAACAGAGCAAGACTCCATCTCAAAATAATAATAATAATAGTAATAATAATAATAATAATAATAATTCGGGCCGAGTGTGGTGGCTCACGCCTGTAATCTCAGCACTTTGGGAGGCCAAGGTGGGTGGATCACTTGAGGTTGGGAGTTCGAGACCAGCCTGACCAACATGGTGAAACCCTGTCTCTACTAAAAATACAAAAATCAGCTGGGCATGGTTGTGTATGCCTGCAATCCCAACTACTTGGGAGGCTGAGGCAGGAGAATCACTTGAACCTGGGAGGTGGAGGTTATAGTGAACCGAGATCACTCCTTTGCACTCCAGCTTGGGCAACAAGAGTGAAACTCTGTCTCAAAAAAATTAAATAAATAATAATAATAATTTGATATCTCAGTTACAATAGCTGCATTTCACGTGCACAATAGCAACCATCATTGCCGAAAGTTCTGTTGGATGGTGTTGGTCTAGAAGTATCTTTTTGTTTGCTTTTTTTACCTTTTTGCTCTATCTTGGTTGATTTCTTCTGACAGATGGGAGAATATAAGAAGAGGGAAACCAGATCCTTTTCCTTATTTAGTGTTATTATTTGTGATCACTTAGGGTCTGTTTGAGGAAA